AGCGTTGCTTCGCCCGAATGGATATCTCAGAATTGCGCGAAGATGCCATTGCAATCGACTGGACGCCTATGGAGCGAGCCGCTACTGTTGATGGCAAGGTTCAAATGTTTAATGATATTGTTCATAAGTTATACGATAAGCATGCACCGGTTAAGAAGGTCAAGATGAAACACGAGCCAGCACCTTGGTTAACCGAGGGTATACGTATGGCGATGCGCCGTAGAGACCGGACCTTTCGTAAATTTAGGAAAGATCGTTGTGAGACCAATTGGACCATCTAAAAAACCGCAAGAAACAGATGCAATCAAATGATACGCAACGCCAAACGCCACCACATTCTCCTGAACATTTCTTCCTCCACACCGGCCGGTATCTGGAAGTTCCTTAGGACTTTCGGTGTAGGTAAGGTTCAGCATCCAATTTCATCTGTGACTGTTGGCTTGGACGACATGAATCTTCATTTCACCACATCTGCCATAATGCCGTCCCAAACCAAAGGTCAAACCCCCGCTTATGTTACTGGGCTTGCGCGGCGAGACATCGAAGCCTTCTCGTTTTCTCCAGTTGCCTCGGACGAGATCAAAAAAACAATCCTAAAAATAACATCTAAAGCTGTGGGCTGTGACGATTTAAGCCGCTTTATGATAGTCACCGTATTGGACCAACTTCTTCCTGCAATCTCCCATATAATCAACTTCTCCCTTTACTCCAGACACTTTCCAGCCGCATGGCGCAGCGCATACGTTCGCCCTCTTCCAAAGATTCCAAATCCTTCCCTACCGAGCCATTTCCGACCCATTTCAATTCTCCTTTTCCTATCCAACATACTAGAGGCGTGTGTTCATAAACAACTCTCCAAGTTTATCCACCAAAACAATATCCTCAGCCCACTTCAATCAGGATTCAGACCTGGACATAGCACAGTTACAGCTATGCTTAAAATGACCAGCGATATTAGGAATGGTGTGGAAGACGCAAAAGTTACTGTTCTAATCCTGATTGACTTCTCCAACGTCAACCACGATATCCTCATATCTATCCTCACCCATTACATGGTCTCCACCGAAGCACTGGAATGGTTTTCATCTTATCTTCGTGGACGTCGGCAGTCGGTCCGCATTGATGAAGCATCATCAAGTTGGTGTGATCTTGCTGCTGGCGTTCCGCAAGGTGGTATTTTACGAGTATCTCTTCTCCTATTCTCGATGTTTATCAATCTTATTACTCTCGATCTTCGGTGTGCGTATCATTTGTATGCGGGTGACCTTCAAATCTACGCACAGACTAGCCTCGATAATATAGTGGACGGATCCGACATACCGATCAGTCCATTTGTCAAAGATCTTGGCTCATGGATTGACTCCAGCCTCACTTGGCAACAGGTTGCAAACGTAAGTCAAAAAGTCACTGCAACCTTGCGATCACTGTATCGGCTAAAGAACTTTCTTCCACATACCTACTACTGAGTTAATGCTTGTACAGGCTTTGATCTTTCCAATCATCGATTATGGTGATGTATGCTATCTCGACCTGAATGCAGATCTACTCAACAAATTTGATCGACTTCTCAATAATTGCATTCGATTCATCTTCAACCTCCGAAAGTATGACCATGTGTCTGCCTATCGATACCAGCTTTCATGGTTACCTATACGTCAGCGCCGTAGCTTGCGCGCCTTGACTACCCTTTTTTCTCTTCTTAATAATCCTACAGCGCCCACTTATCTCACTTCACAGCTTAAACCGCTATGCTCCAACCATGACAGAGATCTTCGGTCCACTCATCATCAACATCATCAACAGCCTATACTAGTCCACTGCTGGACATAGGCCTCTCCTTAGAAAGGAGGTTTTGGCCTACTATACCACGCTGGCCAGACGGGTTGGTATAGGGTTTGTTTCAAGTTTTCCTTCTCTTTGCATTGCTGTTGTCCTGCTTAGTTTGCTCCCTTAGTCGGCTCTTACGACACCCACGGGATGAATTGGGGTGGTGACAATTTGTATTCTTAATCCGTCACCACACGGACGGTTCACTAATAATCTTTTACTCTTGAATCCAATCCACACTTCTTCTCTTGTTCATTCTTCGTTTGCTGTCCAGTCTATCCTACTATGAAATGCGCTCCCGCTTGAGATCAGGATGTCAGGAAGTCGTGACACGTTCATAGCTAAAGTCCGAGCATTCTACATCAAACAGCTAGCAGAAATATCCTCATGATATCGTCACCCAAACTTTATTGTATTTATTATATTCCGTATGTATAATATATTAATAGTTATCTATGTATTCGTCTATTTATTTTTAATAGTATTATCAAATTAATGTTATATTTTCATAGCTTCTCTTCTTATAACATAATACATTTGCACCTGCCAAGTCCCTTACTGAACCATCTTAAGGTTGACTGGTAGATAATGCGATGTGGCATTAAGTCCGCCTCGTGCAAACTGTAATGCAGGAAGTGTAAAAATAAAATAAATAAATAAAATGTATGCCTGCGCCTGCTGTTTCGTATAGTCGGCGCAGGGCGCTTGCGCGAATGTTCGTGTGTGTTTATGTTACAGCGTGCCACGCGCATCCATGGATGGTGACAGCGTCACGATAAATTGTAATGTTTGTGTACGATAGCGCAATAAATAAATATTGTATTCTACCACATAATTGATAGTACTTTTATACTGATAATTAAAGCAATTCGTGCAAAATTATTCCCTAACCATTCCAAAATATCAAAAATGCATAACGTTAATATTCAAGTTTTCACTCCCGGAGTGCAACCCGTCGTTTTTATATTATACTAGCTGACCCGGCGAACTCTGTTCCGCCTTAAAGGCAGTAAATAAGCCGATTTTCGAATTTAGTAAGTTAATTTTTTTCTTAGAAAAAAAAATGAAGTACATTAATCATTTATTATTGTTACATAGCTGTCATTTGTGTTTTGTTATTCCAAGTCTGATTCTTTTTTTTTATACCACGTTTTATAGTGACTGATGTTTTATGTCAAGTCACACGGGAACACTGTCGAACGGAATAAATAGTATCCTATGTCCGTCTCCTGGCTCTAAGCTACCTCCTCACCAATTTTCAGCCATATTGGTAAAGCCGTTCTTGAGTTATAAATTGTGTAACTAACACGACTTTCTTTTATATATATAGATTATAACATACGTACATATTATGTATTGCGTACATGTTAGAGAACAGATAATACACTCGCATAAACATCTCAATTATTAGCTACCAGAAAATTAAATTGATAAAAAGCGAAAGCAGAAATGATTAAATTATTAACGGAAAAGAAAGAAAGACCCTATTAATTTGCTCGGAAGTGTACTCTTGTAAAGCACGAGAAAACGAATCAGCAGCAGCGATATTATCGGTGAGCCAATCACTGGCTGACGTTATGATTTAATTGCCCCCCGTCCTACTTAATACCTAAAAAAGGCACCCAAAAATCGACTTCTGCGCAGGTGAAGGTCAGCGCTCAAGATCCTACCTGCACACACACTAGATTAGAAGACTTCATTAACACAATGCCGTCCGTCTTACTTGCGCATGAAAGAGACAACGTTATGGCTTCAAGGCCGTCGCCGGTGCGCCGCCGCGAGTGTACAGTGCACAGTTGCGCACTTGCGCTAGGGCTTGCAAAAGTTTGTATTCGAAATATTCGATTGAATACTATAGTTTGTAAAGCAGCGGTTTTTATCGGATATTTCTCCAAAGTACTTGTCAACGAATAAACTGCCTCGGGTATTTTTGGGTAGTTTATGTATTTTTGGATATTTTCCGGAAGTTTAGGTACTTTTGAGTATTTTCGGGTATTTTTGAAGTAAAACTTATTTGGCATCGTTGTGATTTGAAGCTAGATTAAACGAAAATGCGTCACGACACGATAAAGAAAAAAACATAAGAATGTATAGGCGAGAATGAGATAGAATACCTTACACATTATTTGTATATAATATTTTGACAGTATGAATATTTTTTATCTTTTTACGTGGGTTTTTTATGTTTGATTACTTTACTAACATTCCTTTTTGAGTTTTATCGTCACATCAATAGCCTATAATAGTCCACTGCTGGACATATGCCTCTCCTTAGCATTAAATAATAAATATTATAACGGTAATTTACGCAAATTTCTGTGAAAATATTAAATCTTATTCTTCCTATAAAAATGCTCCCGTCTGCATACGTTTTATAGTAGTTACCTAATATACAAAGTCTCAAAAAGTTTTCGGAAGTTTCACTTCTGCTGTGTGGGAATTGCACACACACACTTTTTTCCATTACTAAACATAAGAAAACACTATAAATTATTATAAAATAGTCCGTATAATTGACACGTAGGGATATTTTTTTTATCATGTAGGGATTTTTTTACTTACAGCTGGTGTCTTCGAATATTACACTCAATTGGATATTTGCCAGCCCTAGTGTTCGCACGAGTGTGAAAACAAATACTGAAATAAAAATATTAAACATATGTACAATATTCGTCTATTTTATTCAATTTGATATTTGTCAGCCCTATAGCCCCAGAGAGTACATACGGCTACGGCAGTTTATGTATGTGCATGTGTGTGTAGGTTCGGCGAGCTGGCAACGTAGCGTCACGAGTCACGACGTCTACGATAGTGCGAGAGCGTGAGTTTGGTTTTAAACCGAATCAAATTGATTATTTATTTTGTTTGAAAACAATGAAAAAGATGTTTATATCCCAACACAGAGTTTAAACTTATCAGTAGTGTTTTAATAACTTAGGTAGGTAATACCTACGCTTGGTCGGACGGACCAACTAGAACTAAACCCGCTAAGTATATCAATATCAGTATGTCTCACTGATAAAAATCTTTACACAGTTTATAGGTATAATTAAGAAAAACATAGTCATCAACACCAACCGTTTTAAATCGAAAAACATAGTTTTAATTTGGGTTTTAAACGTTTTTTTTCGTTTATACGGATTGATTTAATTGGTTTTAAACCGGCCTTACATCTAAAGTTCAGACTCGAGCAGAGACATTGGCTGTCCAGATGCATATATAGACCTCGCTAGCGCAGTATTTATATCATTGTGACTTACTGGTTGCGTCGTGAATGTTGTGTTACGAGAAGCAACAGAAGTAAATCTGAAAGACGACGGCAGCGCTGTCACTGCTGAGGGATCCATGGCTGACGATGACGGTGACGGTGCCATGGCCGACGATGTGGACGAACGTGGAGATACAGTTGCTTCTGGAGATGAATGCAGTATTGCCGGAACGTTGTTTTGTTTGTATACATTTTTCACGTCATTTGGGCATTTTTTACATTTCCATAAGTGTTCTTTTAATTTATTGGCCATCGCGTGCTTGTATTGCCCAGAACAATAACTACAAGTAACATGTTTTTTACCGTTAGTTTCACACAACACCAAAAAATGTTCCCAAACGGTACTGATAGGTCGCGGCATATTTAATTGGTTAATTAATAAAACAAAAACACGTCCGCTCGTGCAAGCAACACTGGTAACATTGATTCGATCAATCCCAGAAATGCGACGTTGCCGTTTCAACTATCGTGTGCACGAACTAACTGCTCTGTGTCTACTCTAGGGCTGACGAATATCAAATTGAATAAAATATACGAACATTGTGTATTTAATACTTTTATTTCAGTATTTGTTTTCACACGCGCGCAAACACTAGGGCTGGCTAATATCCAATTGAGTGTAATATTCAAAGACATACCAGCTGTAGGAAAAAAAACCCTTCATGATTTTTTTTATTCCTACGTATCAATTATACGGACTATTTTATATTCATTTATAGTGTTTTGTTTATGTTATGTTAAGTAATGACAAAAAATACCTGAAAATACTCAAAAGTACCCACCTAAAATTCCGGTACATATAAAAAAATACATAAACTACCCCAAAAATACCCGGAGATGTTTATTAGTTGACAAATACGGAGAAACATCCGATAAAAACCGCTGCTTTACAAACTAGTTTTCAATCGAATATTTCAAATACAAACTTTTGCAAGCCCTAGCGCTAGCTACCTACATACTTAAGTTTTCGTGTAGTAGGTAATGTAGGTAGGTACTTTCTATTGATTTTCTATAAACTAATTAAAACGAAACATGACGTCAGGTGACCAAAAATAGCCCGCAATGAAGTGTAAAACACAGTTCTTTTATTTTTGTAGACGAGTTTTCAACCGTTTAAAACGATTTATTTGGGGTTTAAAACGACAACATTTTGTTTAAAACGTTTTAAATCTATAGTCAAAATCATAATAGAACAGGACGGAATAAGTGAGGCGGATTTATGTATATGTGTACATACTGCAGGCGCTAGAGGTGAGTATGCAAAATGTGCGGACCGAATTCCACCAATTGATTTGTGTTAAGAAAAGGTCAAGGATTCATATCTTGCCGATCTTGTGGATCTTGCCGGTAAATTTCTTAGTCCAGTTCTTTTTTTACCCCTTCTACTCTTGCACATGTCTAATGTCAATAAAAAAATGAGTAATTGTTTGCCTACTTAGAGTATATTTCTGTTTAAATTTTGCTTTTTTTTTATATATACATATCTTGTTTATATTCATACAAAAAGATTTACTTACTTTTATTTTATCTAAAGTACTTACTTAAGAAATCTATACCTTCCGAAACCATACTGTTACGGTGGTTGTTTTCAGTTTTTAAAGCACACTGCGGCATTTTAATGGTCCTTGGATGACGTTGATTGTATTTCTCGGGCCGTTTTTAGGGTCACCTTTAATCTAGTTAAATTGTTGATCGATGCTTGAATTGTTGTCTTTGTAATTTAAGTATGCACCTAAACATTCGCAAGCGGTTCGATGAGCTCAATCGCCATATTCATCAAGTTATAATTATAAATATCTGACAGCTTTCTATTCTCCGTTTAGAGAATCAATTAAATAATGCGTAACAAGTACTTTGTAGTTCCTACTCACATCAACAGCCTCTAATAGTCCACTGCTGGGCATAGGCCTCTCCTTAGAAAGGAGGTCTTGGCCTTCTATACCACGCTGGCCAGACGGGTTGGTATAGGGCTTGTGTCAAGTTTTACTTCTCTCTGCAGTGCTGTTGTTGTTTTCTCCCTTAGTCGGCTCTTACGACACCCACGGGATGAATAAGGACCTATTAATACATACTAAGAGGAATACTAGACTTTTACCAGCGACTTTCAATCGCCCGTTTTACTATGCTTTAATAGTTGATCTCCTAAGCCAACAAGACCCTTCTAAGATTGCGTTATTCGGTCCCACTTTCTATGTTTTTTATAATATTCATTTCGTCGAATGTGACATTAAAAACTTAACGTTTTCCTTTGCAACGCGCCTCTTTTTCTCAATGTCGTATGCAGTGGGTGAGCGAAAATGTAAGGTAAAAAAAAATGTTTTTATGTGTTCTGAGAATGGAGTATTTCGTTGACTGTTTATCTTGTGATTAATTATATCTTGAACAAGGGAGGCAGGTCCTAAGAAAAATTTAGTTAATTCTTTCAAATTTATTAAGACAGTCACATAAATAAATGTTTGCAGTTTAAAACTAAATTTTTAACAAAAAAACGTATAATGTTATTTTGTTACTTGTATTTTACTTATTAAAACTTATGCACTGTAAATCTATCGCAGTCCACTGCTGGACATGGGCCTCTCCACTTACACGCCACTTCGATCGATTTTGGGCTTCTCGCATCCAGCTCCTGAGTAATATAAAGTCAACAGAACAAATTGTATGCTCCTTATAAATTTAATTTTCGCCAACCCGCCTGCCCAGCGTGGTGATTATAGACTAATCCTCCCCATGCAGACGCAACAATGTTTCATATAATATTATTTTATTACAAAAATTGCGTGAAGTTAAAAAACGAAAAACACAACAATATGTCTTGCGCATTGTTGATTCAAAGTTGTTAAAAATATACTTTCTTCTAATAAAATTCTCAAACAGCTTGATTTATCGATACGTAAATGTTGCACTTAATGATAAAAAAAATTAAATAACCTTAAGGAATTTAATTGTGGACAACTCATCCTTCTTTTCCAGCTTGTTTACAATCATTTTCAAATTTTGGATTTGTTTTTTGGTACGCGCAATTTCAGTTCGATTCACTTTCAAGGTCTTCCTGACATTTGTAATATAGTTGGCAAATGCCTCATAAGCGTTATCAGATGTGAAATCTTTTCTACTCAAAACAGCGACTTTAGATCCATCAACTAATTTTTTTTTGTTTATATTTCCTACATCAATGTATCCTTTCCTGAAATCATAAAATAAAAATAATAATATTGATATGTGGCGACTCCCACATACAAAGAAACAGAAACATACTACAGCGCCATCTAATGAAGACACACCGAACAACGGAGTAACTACTAAATAAGAATTGCTAATCCTGTATCGCGATATGAAGAATTCCCTAGCCGATTAGCATATATACAACTTCCCAACATCTACCGTTGGGGCCTCGGCCCGCCAGGCATGATCACCTCGCCTGGTCGGAGGATCCTCCCCTTGTGTTGGAGAGACATGACACCCGTTCCTGCACAGATACATTAGATTAAACGTCAACATTTCGTTTTTAACTATACCTTTTTCCATTTGACACTTCCTTTTTACCTATTCGATCACCAAAATTTGATTTCCCTTCTCTCTATTGTTTACGTTGAAATTAAAAGGTTCTGATTTTTGATGTTGGCCAACAATTTCACACTGATTTATACACTGTAAGTAGATTCGAGAGACTATTCCCATCAATTTTGTCTGAAACTGCTATATTATTACTTGTAAATAGAGAAGTGCTTTGATGATCAACATTTATCGTATGTACAGAATCATCAGAATTTTGTGGTAATGTATATGTTTTAGCAATCGTAGTCGAATTCTGCTCGGCTACATCTTTATGACAATTTTTGAGTATTTTTTCGTTAGATGACAGTAACGGAACAGCTGCAGAATATAATCTTGGCTTTTGACGTTGATCATCAGAATCAAAATAATCAGTTGACTTAAAATGATTACTACAGACGTAAGTGGTTTTCAAGTTCGGCGCTGCAGATAAATTTAAAGACTTGACCCATTGTTTCTGCATATTTTCGTTCAATGGAAATCTAAATCAGTAAAGAAACGTTTAATGTAGGTACTTAAATAGTTGATAGCACAAAAATAAAGTTTTTAGGTTGATCTCACTTATGAAAAGATCTCGTACACGACGATGTAGGTTTTTCTTTACACACATAACACTTTTTTGTCATTTTGATGCCTTAATTAACTTAATGATAACACTACGCTATTGGGCTGTTTATAACTATTTAGATTTTTATCTCACAGACCAGAAGATCAGAAGTTTTTTATATCGACTACCACACTTTATTTTAATGGAATCGTCACTATACCATTGTCGTGAAACTAAACTGACAAACTATCTGCAATGCGCATGCACGTCTGTTGGAGAGAGACAGCAAGAGGGGGCCTCTCGGCAGCTTTCTCTGTCGCACCTGGGATCACGCTTTGGGCTTTGTGTTTACACTATCTCAATGTTATTACGCTAGCTACAGACTCGCGAAAGGTTTGATTGATTTGATGGCATTTATCTTTGTCCATGACTAAACCACAATCACAGATGAAATTGACAAAAAACAATCATTTCATCATATTATTATGATTTAAAAGTAGCAGTAATTTCCATGTCTAAGAAGGACATAAGCACGGAGACTTTTATAACGCTTACGCGTTACGTTTCACGAACCTTTCCTGGATGAGCTCCTATAGACTAAAAAGAAAAACAGAACGGATATTTAACTTAAATAAAAAGTCTAGTATTAAAATAAATAAAAAAAAAACTGATATCATTTTTTAAGGGTTCCTCACCTCAAAAGGAACCCTTATCTAGATCACTCTCTTGTCCGTGTGTCACCACTGATTTTCGAGAACGGTTGGATCAAGAAAGTTGAAATTTATGTCAGATACAGGTCTATAGTCCCTATTAGCTGTATTAAAATCAAGGTCCTTAGTCAACACGATAAAAAGATATTGTCAAATTTAGATTTTTGCGAAAACTTGTAAGTACCAATATTTACCTTAATTTTCAACTTTTTTTATTGTTCGGAATTTTCCCTTTACTTGTGCTGTAAGACCATGCTTTCAACTAAAATTGACAATTCTAGGTCAACCGGAATTACCCTGTAGGTTTTGGGTCGAAAACCGAAACCGAAAAAAGAGTGTACAGGACATTCCTAAGGGATATATATATATATATATATATATATATATATATATATATATCCAGTCAACCGGAATTACCCTGTAGGTTTTGGGTCGAAAACCGAAACCGAAAAAAGAGTGTACAGGACATTCCTAAGGGATATATATATATATATATATATATATATATATAAATTTAAATTAGTTGATATAAATACCATATTTAAGTACATTAATTTAATCACTTGAAATAAATCTACACTTTCAAAATGTAGGTATTAATTTTATTTACATTCCTTTAAATAAGTCGATAATTTGACTTCCATATATACTTTCAGAGGTTGTGGTGTAGATTACATCAATTTCTAAATCCCAAAAATACCTATCGTAAAGTAAAACACCGGTAAAAAGTTATACCTGGGGCCTTATTAGCATTTGTTGATATGTTTTTACAATATCGTTGTAGACACGATGGCATAATTATTGAAGTTATGCTAATTTTATAAAACCTAAACTAAAACAAACAAATACAAGGTGCAATAAAGTTAAAGAGTTCATTAGGTACATAATATCAACAAAACGAAAATAAAATAGATACTGATTAAATTGTGTAAAACGTGTTAAGCTTTTTAAATTACTTTAATGTAGTTGGCATTATGTTCCCCAACGTTGAATTACTGTTCTGCAACGGTTAAATTTTTTCATCTATGAAAACCGTTCCTGCCTATGGTTCATCTTAAGGGAAAGCGAGCTATTCATTGATATAAAGCGATACAGAGCAATAGAAAAAGAACATGCACATCGCTGCCATGACATTTATTTATTCTCTTATTTTACTGCAAGATGCTACAAAGTTATGTTAAAATAAGTAATAATTTTTGTTTTTACTTGCCAGAAAGTTATACAACGATTAAAACATTCGGACATGTACGAGTCAAACTCACCCACCGAGGTTGCCGTACAAACTTGTAGGTACGTAACGTACAAATTGTACAGCGTCGTCACCGTAATGTTATCTATCAGTACATATTGTGACTCGGCCCTGTCCTTAAAACACATATACCTAGCATACCTATAACCGATAGAGCTGCCCGCCTACAGTATTTTATCTACCTACCTACCGTAGGCAAAGGGGTGCCAACGGAACCCTATCACTAAAACTTTGCTGATTGTACGTCCGTCTGTCGCCGTTCGCAAAATACAGTCGTATTTACGACCATACACGAACTCTGGAATATTTATCAATTATGGTTTTAATTAAATTCGCGATGATTCAAAAGCGGGTGCTTGTTGCTTTGAATGTTCTAAGAGAGAGTCAAATAAGTTGGAATTTTAAACAAGTTTTCAAAATTCGATATTTTAATAAACCAATATCTCGATTACTTACAAAATGAACTCCTTTTCTATTTAAATGAGATTTTATAATTACGGAAACGGAAACCGTTTTAAACGGAAAACAAATTTTCTGATGCATAGCATAAACCTCCCATATCTCTAATCGTAACTAATATGTGGAACCACAGTTTTTCATTAGAATATAAATTATCAATACAGGTTGCATGCACATACATACATCAATACAGGTTTATAGTTTTTGCTAATTTTCGCGCAATCCAACAAGAAATATTGTTATTTGTTTGGCTGATTCTGAACAATTTTCATTATTGAGCATTTCAGCAAGAATATTGACATTGTTTACGGATGTATTATCACTGGTTGTAGGTGCATCTACAATATTATCAGCTGCCTCTCAAGCACGTAGTCCTGATAAAGAATTAATAATTATGATTCCTAACGATGAGCACGTGAGTATAGGAATATGTTCCAAAGGAATACAGTTACCCTTAAACGAACTGCGTAACTCTAAGTGTTTTTTTTTTGTACGATCCTGTAAAATTCACACCATTCAGGTGTTCGGATTGTTATTGTAACCACCTTGGCGCCGGATAATACGGAAAACATTTTAAATGTGGTCCTGACTTAATCGGTATGTTGCGATAAACCTTAATACTGGTGTATCGTAAAATAGAGATATTGTTGCGTGTGAAAATATGCTTTAAACTCTGAATGCAAATCAAAAAGTCCAAAAAGCCGGTTTTGGTTTGCATTCAACTAGTGTTTTTTTTAAATATGTTAATAATAATTCACTTAGTTTTACTATAAATTCGCATAAGGACAAATTTAATTACCAGGATAACAGGAACAGCATTCTTTTTAACTATATAGTGTTCGACCTTTTTTTGAAGTATATCTATCAGTAACTTTGAAATCATCATCATCATCATCAACAGCCTATACTAGTCCACTGCTGGACATAGGCCTCTCCTTAGAAGAAACTTTGAAATGATTGATACTAATTCTGGTGCCTTTTGAAGGCGTCCAATCTGATTCGTTTCTTTGTTTACGAACAATTGCAATCCACTCTTGAAGTCGGACCTCATTAGTCGCAAACCTTAAAAAAATATAATTCTAAATAAAAAAATAATTATTGATTGCTGTACTAGTAGTGCGGTGGCTTGTCTATGATAAATATTAAAGCAACACTAATAATTTATCTTTATCTTTTTATAAAGACAAGTCCAGCATTAGGACTATATCCTGTCGCGGGGGACTTTACAAGCATACATGAAACGGACACAAAGAACACCCAGACTCAGAACAACAATTTGTGGATCACACAAAGTGGCGTCCCATGTCGTCGATCGAACCCACAACACTCGGCGTAGTAGGAAGCGGCGTGCTGACCGCTTAAAACGCTACGTCATCCGTGCAGTCAATTTAACAACAAATATTATTAATTAATTGTTAGATAAAGGAAACTGAGCAATAGGGTAATTTCTACGATTTAATTTCGCCTACGATGTTCGCATCTGTACTCCCTTCCCTGGTCCTGTGTCATCATCAGCCTATCGCAGTCCACTGCTGGAGATAGACCTCTCCCATTGCACGCCACTTAGATCGATTTTGAGCTTTCTGGTCCTATTTGTCATTTGCTTATTTTTACACATTAACATCATCATCAACAGCCTATACTAGTCCACTGCTGGACATAGGCCTCTCCTTAGAAAGGAGGTTTTTACCACGCTGGCCAGACGGGTTGGTATAGGGTTTGTTTCAAGCCGAAGTTTATCGGCGAGTGGCTGACTTCCGGGCGGAGAGCGGATTTCGCCCTCCGCCCGAGGACGTGCGCGAGTGGCGCGAAGCCGCTCGCCGAGCCACCATGGTCAGATGGTCGTTCCGGCTGGAGACTCCACGCGCTGGCTTCGCCGCCGTGGAGGCTCTCCAGCCGGTCATAGCCGAGTGGGCAGGGCGGCAGCACGGGGCCCTTTCCTTCCGGCTGACGCAGGTGCTTTCCGGGCACGGTAGCTTCGGAAAGTACCTGCACTCGGTCGCTAGGAGGGAACTGAGTCCCGCCTGCCACCACTGCGACTGCAGTGAGGACTCGGCCCAGCACACGCTGGCGGTCTGCCCCGCATGGGCGACGCAGCGCCGGGCCCTCACTGCAGTCATCGGAGCAGATCTCTCGCTACCGGCCGTAATTCGCTCCATGGCCGGTAGCGACAGTTGTTTTACCGCGGTCGCAACCTTCTGCGAGGAGGTAATCTCGCAGAAGGAGGCGGCGGAGAAGGCCCGGGAGGACGACCTCCACTCGGACCTGATCCGCCGCCGGCGAACCGGGCGGCGGAGGCGCGCTTACCTGCGCCTCATGCCGCCCTGAGTGTGGCCGTGGGTGGACGGGGTGGGTTTCCCCTCCACCCGCATTAGTTGGCCAGCCGCGAGGGGGCGGCGTCCGCGTGTGCCGGACGTCGCCTAAAGAGAGGAAAATTTTGAGACGGGGCCCGCAATAGGAGCGGGCCGGCGCTAGGAGGGGTCCAGAAGGCGATAACTACCTGGACCCCTCCTAAACTGGAAGCGCAAAGAGGGCACACCGTGTGGTTTTAGTCGGTTCGAGTCCGACACACCACCCCGCCGCAAACCCCGGTAGGGTGACGGTCCGAGGGGATTTCCAAACGTTAAAAAAAAAAAAAAAAAAAAGTTTTGTAACTTTTGTTACTAGGTATGTGAGTTTTATTTTGTATTTTTTATGAATTAATATCAAACACAAATGTTAGTGCTCATTGAAATCGTAACCGTCACCCCGCCGCAAACCCCGGCGGGGTGACGGTCCGAGGGGATTTCCACACGTTAAAAAAAAAAAAAAAAAAAAGGTTTGTTTCAAGTTTTCCTTCTCTTTGCAGTGCTGTTGTCCTGCTTAGTTTGCTCCCTTAGTCGGCTCTTACGACACCCACGGGATGAATTGGGATGGTGAAAATTTGTATTCTTAATCCGTCACCACACGGACAACTTCTTACTATTGCCAACAGGCACCCAACGCTTTTTTTTCCAAATTTATTTTCTATTTTTTAGTTTGATTTTCTCTAAAAGAGCTTGTCTTTTAGGTTGTTAAAACTATGTTTTTTTTTAGTCAATTCACTTTTAGTTTTATGTTTTTTAGTTTCTAAATGCTTCTTGAAATCATTCAGTTTTGCATATTGCCATTGCCATTTCTGAGTGGCAATAGCTACAAAATGCTTTCGTGGAGTCACCTTGTACAGGTTTTAACCAATGTTTGAACTCCTCGGAATTTGTCCGTTATTTTCTGTAAATTTGACTGTATATACCTTTTTTAATTCTTTATTTCAACTCGTACAATAAGAAACTATCATATCAACTTTCAACTATGCAAACAACAACGAAAGTTTGATAGACGCAACGAAATGGTGTTATTCTTTCTAGACATGGGACAAAATCACAGTGAACTGTGATTTATTATTCGATTTTTGCGTGCGTTTTGGTTTTGGTTGGTTAGTTGACGCAATTTAACAATAAATCTATCTATTTTTAAATTATTATGTAAGGAATGGTAGCTATACATAATAAAATAATAATTTACACGAGAAAAGACAGAACAAGAGAAACCTTGATGATATTGATTAAATATTTCAAAGTTATGCGACTTCTATGAAAAAAATGCCGGCTCGCATGCAAAGTAAGCTCAAATTAGATATTGCAACATTATTTGCAAAATATGAAATGCAAATGCAAGATAATATAAATATAAGTCCAGTCAATTCACCATCAACTAACTTGTCTACTGCAGATTCTATATCATATAAGTATTCATCCGAAGACAGTATGTTACAAGATGTTGAAGATCTACAAGGTCTGCCAAGGTATGAATTGTCATCACGCGACATGGATGAATTATTACATGATACACAACATGTTAAGTCAAATGAAGAAAATCAAGACCAAAATACATCTGAATTTTCTGAGCTTAGACGGTGTTATGAAGAAGCCGCTGAAGTAATTAATAATGATAATGAATAATGCTTAAGAATAATAATATACATTTATTTGTTTAAGGAATAAAGTAACTTACCTCAAACATACCACCAATCTTTCTTTTGCTGAAATGGCTTGCCTCCAGTTAGTATCTTGTTTAACTAAGTCATGTTTAATTTTGTCATACAGTTCATTGAAGGAATCGATGTTCATCCGAAAAGAATTATAAAAAATTTCTTCATCATTAACCCATTTAGAAAAAAGTCTATGAAAATCTCCATCTCGTTCTCTATCCTTATTTACTGGGCGCACCCAGTGTTTTCTTTTCCGTCTTGAAGCCGATAATGACCACAAAATCAATAATTCGTCTTCCGATGAAGAGCTATCGTCAAAAAACATGGTGACACTAGTGGTACCGCGTCGACCGTTCAAAAGCGGGGTTCGTGAGCAATTGCTTCGCGTTCTGCGTTCGAGCGTGCTTTTAGTTGGTTCGAGTCCGACATAGCCAACGGTGGGTGGTATCCGAGGGGATTGCCTCACAGAACAAAATAAATTAATAAAAAAAGGTGCAATGTAGATACTATTTTAGGGTGGGAGTTATTAATTATATTATTATGATATGACAGGTACAGAAACAGACAACAGATTCACACCAATACGCCATGATACACAGAAAAATATCTTTAGGTACCTTAGCTTTTTTTATTTAGTTTATTGTAATTCATTTGCTACAAAACAAAATTCTGTAAAAGTCAAATATACCTAAATATTAATGTAAGTAATATTAATGACAGTTATTTTATAACTTTAATTTAATTTCATGTACATTGTTGTTGTCTTCAGTCTGCAGGAGATGATGGTTCAGCCTTCACATGGACCGTCGCCACGGTGGTTTGTAACGCGTCACAGATCATTATATTTATACTCTGCTCCATACTGTAAAAAAGAAACATGTAATTAATTGCCTACCAGCAAACTCGCAAGACCTTTTCCTACCCAAAATTAGGATTAATTGGCTAAAACTTGAAAAAATAAACTCTTTGTTTAAAGAATAACTTTCAAGTATCTGGTTGATGCCCCATATACCGGGTCCAGGCGCAAGTCCAAACTATTCCAAGTCCCACTTAAACACACCAATGTTTCGTCTAAATGTGAAATAAGAAGCCCTTTTTAAACAATATACTGTACAGAAACATCACATTTGGATTACCTAATATTGATACATATTATTTAGAAGAAGGGTAGAAAATAACTCTTTTAAACAATGTCTGAAGTTTCAGCCGGTTTTGCTTTTTTTTATAATTTTTCATTCTTTTGGTAAAAAATGATATCACATTGCGTAAATAAAACAATTTAATAAATAGCTCATAAAGTCAAAAATTGCAATGTAATTAATCAAATAGCCTTTTCCCCGGCCGCCAACTTGTGTTAGACTGGTAGACTGTTTGCACGGAATACAAATATAGTTATTACTTTTGTGCAACACCTACTGGTGCAATGATTTACGACGCAGAACGATGGTCTGAATACACTGTACATATTGACTGTCATAGTATAAAAAATTGTGCGATGACCATTCAAGTTATGATATTTAAAACGGTCGAACCATTTTACTATTAAACCATACATACTCTAACATTTCTATTTCATCACTGGATTCCTCTTTGATTTTGGTGATTGTTGCGGGAACGTTTTCGTGATCAAATGAGTCCCTGTGTGAGAGAGAGAGATAAAAACACATATAGATCAATTTAGTATGTTGAGAAGTTATTTACGTCATACGGCTATGTGAGCTAAAAAGAGTCAGTGTCAACTGACTGCATTTGTTTACACAACCGACTGACGTCATGACCACAGAGCAATCTGGCGGCTGCTGCGTCTAACAATTTCATCAAATTACGCGCGAAATTTGAAAATCAAATATTTAATTTAAGCCAGAGGTTAAGGTTTGGGTTAGATATTGACAATTCGGACAAATAATTGTGTGATGAGCATGATCTTTTGTTCTGTGTCTGGTTGTAGGTTATCTAAATTATGTATGTATTCAGAAATATAAAAGTATTTTTATCAGCAGTCTGGTTACTAACGTACATGCTCTACCTAGTTTGAAATCTGTGTGTGAGGTAACAAATTATTATTATTACTTATACACTCACCCTATCCCCAGTGGATCGTCTCCTAGCGTCGGTGGGCATTCATCATCAGCAGATTCAGTCTTATATTCCGTTTCCATCACCCCGTGCACTCTTAACTGAATAGGGGACGGGAACCTGTAACATTTACACACATTCTTAAATAAAGGACTCATGGAAAGCTAACTATCGTGGCAAATATAACTAACAAGGTCGTGGCAAATATAACGATTATCATTACTTACGGCAATTGTTCCTCGTCGCTGGGTTTCCTTCTGACACTGCTGCTAGTCGCTCTACGTCTGACAGGTTTGAGCTCCTCGCTATCAGTTGCACAGTCTAGTCTGTAATGTATACACATACAGGGTTATTGGTTAAGTGAATCAAGATACTTTAGGGGGAGATTTAAGAAGTAATCCTGTTTATAACACGTAATATTACATTATACATACATATGTCTAAAGAGACTCTTGATTGATGAGGTAAGAAATGGACCTTGGGTAAGAGACGAAGATAATTGAGAAATGTATGCTGCGTAGGTTAAGTCAAATAGCGCGCGTTTTTACTCCACAGTTTCCAGAAAAACTAAAGGAAAGGTGTTACACATCAAATATAAACTAATTTAACTATATTATTTCTATTTATTTTATTTTATTCTGAACACCAACAACATAAATAACGTAAGGTAAACATTATAATTACTTAAATAGCAACGTAGCTACTTACAGGTATTTGCAACTTTATTGAAATCCTTCCGTAACTCGGAGAGCACAGTAAGCTGTCGGTCCTGATTGCAAACATCTATGGCAATCGTTACGGGTAAAAGTCCGACAACATTCTATCTACAGAACTTCGATATCGTCGGGTTGTGGACGTCTGATCAGCCTGATCAGACTGGCATTCGTTCCAAGTAAAAAATCGAAGTTCAGCCATGTCGTAGTCGACCACAAACCTAGTTGGGAAAAGGCTCGGAGGATGACAGTCTATATTTCACTTACCCTTCATCATTACTATCCACTTCAGGTTCCTTCTCATCACCTTTTTCTTGAACAGGCATATGTTCCGACCCGGCAGAATACTTTTTGTCTTCCACAATCATTGTAACGGCCTGTTCACTGATCCCAGTGGCTTCCGCTGTACGTTGGAGGTAGTTAGCTAACGGATTCATTTCCCAATGATTTCCAGTAAAAGCTTTCAAAATGTCGTACTCATTTTTGAAATAGTGGTATACCCTGGCGATGATCATTTTACCCTGTACAAGAAGAGATAAGGCTTATAAGAAGGCGTAAGTATTTTACTACAAGACCGCTTCTAGTTTTTACGTCATTCATTAAAATGGTTAGGCTAGGTTTTGTAAGTTTGGCCTGAGTGTGGCCGCGGGTGGACGAGGTGGGTTTCCCCTCCACCCGCATTAGTTTGGCCAGCCGCGAGGGGGCGGCGTCCGCGTGTGCCGGACGTCGCCTAAAGAGAGGAACAATTTTGAGACGTGGCCCGCAACTGGAGCGGGCCGGCGCTAGGAGGGGTCCGGATGTCTTAATAACAGCTGTTCCCGGATCCCTCCTATTACAGGCGCAGAGTGGCACACCGTGTGGTTTTAGTCGGTCCGAGTCCGACACACCACCCCGCCGCAAACCCCGGTAGGGTGACGGTCCGAGGGGATTTCCAAACGTTAAAAAAAAAAAAAAAAAAAAGTTTTGTAACTTTTGTTACTAGGTATGTGAGTTTTATTTTGTATTTTTTATGAATTAATATCAAACACAAATGTTAGTGCTCATTGAAATCGTAAGTTATATATTACAGGACATGTAGTTATATTAACAAATATGATGAACAAAAAAAACCTCAATATTCTATGCTTAAAAGAAAGGAGATTTTTTTTTTGTTATTATCGGTTTTATTTTTTAATTCCTTTATAAGGAAGAATTGGGATCATATTTTTGCTATGGTTACAGTTATCTTAAAATATGCATCACCAAAAAAAGTCCAAATTCCATAGCATTTAGGAACTACATCCTTCTAAAGTTTTTTAAGTAGGTTTGTGGTAGTTTGGTTGTAGGGTTGGTTGTTGTTGTTTAAAGTTAGTTTTTTATATAAAGTAATAACTTTTCAAAAATAATTAGGCAAAATAAATTATTAGGTGATAATCCTAAAACCAAAATTATATTTATATTAAATTTTTACTACTTTATAACCCTTTTTGAAGATATATGACGCACAAAAGCATAATACTTCATACTTAAAACACCGAATTAAAATAACGTTATATGAACGAAGAAGTACACAAAGCTATCTTTTTTAAATATGCCATAAAGCAAAAAAAAAAAAAAAACTCTTGAACTTGTTCAGCTGCTGATTTATCCACGCAGTTACTGGCAGTATCACACTCTTTAATCTGCATAATTAATCAAAGGTTTATAATCTATCGTAAGAAAATGACAGTTGTACGTCCGATGGGCGAAATCCAATATAAAAACTCAAGATCAAAATATATTATAGCGCCATCTCACGAAGGCTAGCAGAGATACATGGCAATTACTGAATTCGCGAAATTAAAGTTCCTGATACAATCAATGTCTCTATATATATATATATAAATGTTAAGTTGGTATGTGTACGCTTAAAAACTCATAAAGTTCTGCAACGATTGAGCTCAAATTTTGACACGATATAAAAACCTCTTCAAAGATTGTTGTTATCTGTTTTTCGCGTCAGTTTTGTCCTTAATTAAATTTCTCATCAATGCAACTATAATGTACCTACCACAGCGAAGCTAGACTCTGTACAGCCGGTTAACATAACAACATAAGTACCCAAAATTAATTGATGGGCAGCGATACCACCACTCAGGTGAGGGAAGAACAGAACTCTTTTCCCACCTGTATATATTCCCATGATAAGTAATATGAATTAATAGTTACCTCTGGTATTTCATGAACTAGTTGGGTTTCCGGTTTATTAGCGGATTGCCCAGCAGTCTGACAGTCCCGAACCTGCACAAACATATTTTTATTTAATTCTATCTAATCAGATAGCTTAGTGGTAATAAGTACTCCAGCGAGTTAACTTTAATTAAACCAAGTTGCACATTATTAGTATTTTTTCTTGAAATTCAGTTATATCATAATTATCAGCATATAACAGTCCACTGCTAGATATGGACCTCTCCTTAGAAAGAAGGTTTTGGGCTACTATACGGGTTGGTATATGGTTTGTTAGTTTTCAGGATCGTTGTTTGTAATTCAGTTATATAATCAGACTAATTAAATTATCATTAAATTAAAGTACAGGACTTGTTCTTGTGGATAACCTCGTCGAGGCCTATGTCCAGAAGTGGACGTTTGCCTAAGTTTTTTTTAAAGACAGCTCCCGCACTAGGAAATAATCCTGTGTCGGGGACTTTACAAACATGCATGAAACTGATACAAAGAACACTCAGACTTAGAACAACAATTTGTGGATCACAAAAAGCGCAGTACTTCCTACTGCGAGGTAACCGCTGAAACCACTGCAGCATTTGTGCAGTCAGATCCGTGAGATGATTATGGAGTTATATCAATGTAGGTACTACTACTGTCATGAACTGAGATCAGTGATAAGATTAGTGGTTCACAATCACATCATCACAACAACAGCCTTTAATAGTCCACTGTTGGAAATAGGCCTCTCCTTAGAAAGGAGGTTTTGGCCTACTATACCACGCTGGCCAGACGGGTTGGTACAGGTTTTGTGTCAAGTTTTCCTTCTCTTTGCAGTGCTGCTTGTCCTGGCTGTTAGCTCCCTTAGTCGCCTCTTACGACACCCACGGGATGAATAGGGGTGGTGACACTCCGTATTGAAACCACCGTTGGCAAACCGGGGCACCCGACAGTAAGTTTTTTTTTTTTAATTTATAAACAAAATTGATATTTAAAAAAGTAAAAACGTACATTCGTACATATCTTCGCGAATTTTGCACTGAGAAATTAAAAATAAATTGCATGTATTTGCGCTTATTTTTTCATGAATTTACGAAAAAAAAAAAAAAAACTACGACCAATAGGAGCGAAGATAGGTTTTCTTTTTCAATTACGCTTAGCGATCGCTGTGTTGTGTATTTTGACTTCGGACCGGGCTGGTTATTTTTTTCAATACTCACTGTATAAGTTTTTTTTAAAGGTTTACGGCGATACTTTTTCCACAAACGATGTTAATAAACTACGCAAAATCACGCGCCAGCTGCGGCTACTGTGTGCTGCCGCCAACAGCACGACGTCCACGCGCAGTAGCGTAGCAAACTTTTTAGCGTGTAGTAACTGGGTTTATATTTTAAAATCATTAATCCCTATGTAAAATTGTCACCTAAAGAACTTTTGCCCGAAACATTTTTCTGTAAAAACCAATACTTTTTAAAATAACTTTCGCGAACCAAAAAAATTTCCGCGTTTCGAACTATTTTGCAATATAAAAGTATGACGCGTATATGAGATTTCAGGATGTAAATAAAGATGAAAACGTTACAGCCGATATACCTAAAAATCCACGGGATTGAGATTTGAACTTAAGGTCGAAATTTGAAAACGATTGATAAAAATATCGTTGAATTGGTAATAAGCACAAATCAACATTTTAATTTTAATTATACTGGTGCCAATTCTGTTGTTCGAAAACTCTCTAAACTATACTAAAAATCACTAAAAATTAGTTAAGTGCAGTCAACTACTATGTTTTCTGAATACGAAACGTTTTTTAACAAGACTAAACAAATTTTTAGTGATTTTTAGTTTAGTTTAGAGAGTTTTCGAACAACAGAATTAGCACCAATGGCAGAGTAATTTTTATCTGGTGCATATTCGAACACAAGACGAACCAATGATGCACGTGTTAATGAGCGGCTGGTCTGCTGTTTCCATCTTTCTCGTACTCGTGCTGTAGTTATGTGTTGTTTACGCGCCGCTCTTGTTCTCTCAATAGTCTGTCGCTGTTCTTGAGATTCCTGAGCACGACTCTCTGCTGTCCTGATTCTTTGAGCTTCGTTTCTTGCTGTAATTTGTTCTGCCGACTGTTGAGCTCTTTCAACACGTTTGCGTCGCGCCTCTCTGCTGCCCGCATTGTTGAGGTTAGATTTTTTTGGTGGCATTATACTGAAAATAATAATTTAAACTGTTAAACTAACATTGAAGTAATAAAATGAGAAGCAAGCAAATACTACTTACACGTATTTTATTTAATTAAAGGGTTTTATGTAACAAAATTTTGTGTGACGTGAAATACATTGTAGCATGATATGCTAAACTATGTTAAAAGTCCAAACGTTTCATTTATTACATGAAAAGTTTGGACTTTTAACTGGACCATCTATTGCATTTTTACTCAATTAATAATAATTGCACTGTATTAAATAGTTTACTATAATATCATTTAACGTATACCTTAGCCACAGCAACGCGTTGCCGGGTCTGCTAGTGTCGTATGTAAATTTCGAACACACACGTTTGACGTATATTAGCATATATATGAAACGTTTTGATTTTTAACATAGCGCCATCTATTGTATACTTACTCAATCCGTGCAATAATAATTTATTGCAGAGTATAATATCTGCAATAATAATGCAGAGCTTGTACTATGAAAGCTAGATTGACTGATAGAATATACTTTTTTTTGGAAATACATATTATGCATAGAAAAACCCCCAACTCTGATACAAATATTTGCAGATCTTACAAACATTTGGTCCGATCTGGGAATTGAACCCGAGACTTCAGCACAGCAATTGTCTTCGCTACCCTCGCACTGATGGAGTATTTCAGTTGAGTAGACGTGATGAGAACTGGCGATAATATATTGGGTGTGCATGGATAGCCACTATCACCAAGTAGCCAGCGATTTCCAAGTGTGTAAGTATGAAATAGTTCAATATGAGATGAGGTACTTACTTGGTGATTGTATCAATGTATGGGTGTCATCTATGCCACAACATACTCTAGGTAATCTAGCAGTAGTTTAACACTCAAGCTGAGTGTGATCTTGTAGCACAACAAAGTTTGAGCACAATCTTGTTGTGGCTCTAGACACACCAGAGACAATAAGGATAGGGGATGCTAAAAAAAAAGAACTTTCTTAAACATGATATTATAGAAATAGTTTAATGTTTGTTGTTTAACTTTTTTATCTAATTAGGCAGAAGTATGGATATTAAACCTAAAACCTTACCTTTTAGATGTTACACTTAAACATGGTTGTATCAAATTAATTAACTGATTCACAGCACTCCTATTTAGTCTTAAATCTATACGCAAATTCGTAGTCACTTAATTTAGTCATATAATTCACACTCGGTTTATATCCCTTTTGTAAGGGGATGTTCATATCATCATCACAATCTATAATAATTTGAAATAATTCCATGTCGCTATCACAGAGTACACTAATATTATTAGGTTGTTATCATCACTTTTTAGTTAGTTTATTAGTTATTTTCGAAATGCAAACTGCCCGTCGTACCTGGCCATGGAGGTTAGAGGGAAGGAGAACGATCGCTGTAGAAAATAGTGTCCCAGAAATATGGACAAAATAAGTGAGGCGCTGCGATCGCTAAGTTGTCTCAATAAAAGCGTGCTGTTGTGCGCCGATTTGAAATGATGTTTCAATGTTTAATATACATGTGTATAACATCATTCAAAGAAAACAAAAAAAATTATTATTAATTATTATTATTTATTAATAAATAAATTATAAATTTTGTCTTTATAATTTTAATTATTATAAATGTAAATTGTTAATTATTATTGATTTATTATTATTTTGTTTTTTTTTGGTAAGATCAATAATCAATTAATTGTAATGGGGTATTCAAAATAGAGACATTTTGATGTGTGTGATGTACATTTTTTTGCATATATGTATCTATGGCTGTTGAGTAAACAAGACGTTTTTAACTCGTATTCTCTACGGTTTTTTTATTTAAAAAATACATTTTTGTCTCTCACAATTATGAACAATACTATGCATATTTTGATATGATTTTATTGATTGTTGTTCATAAATATCAGATAGTTAGATGATAAGAAATAAGGTATTGTTGCTAATAACACCACAATTACTGTGTTTAACGATGTTAACAATATGTTTCTTCAAATATTTTACTATTATAAATACAACTTTTCTCAAAGTAAATAAAGAGTCAATAAATAATACTGAAATTGTCGGAAATATATTATCTATATTATTAGACTATCTGTTAATTATTTAATTAACAAAGAGACAATAAAAACGTGGCCTTTGTATTGTGACTATAGTAGTCGGATATATCAGTATAACGGAACATTTTGTCTTACATTTAGTTAATAATATATATATTGAAACTATCTGTACTTTATTAAAAAAAAAATATGCCTAGAATTATAAAGATTTGGCAGTGAGCGATTACAAATTTCTTAAAGTAAATTATTTCTTAATTTTTAATCACAAGCAAGTATAAGTGCACAATTCAAGAATTTTTTTGCATTGCAGTCCTCGCATAAATTAATCATTATCATATCATTATCTTTAAAGATTTTTAAGGAGGGTTGTGAATAATCCAGGTTTTCGATTTGACAGTTATTAATGTCATTCCGTACTAACGGAACTTGCTGTAGCAAAAAAAAAAACAATTTAAAAGTAAACAGATTTGATATTTCTTAAATTTTAATATCATCTAAAAATAGTAAACGTGGCATTCACAAACCTCTTCAGAATTGTCCATTTCCAAATCCTGAAGGTTTATTGGAATGACATTGTCATTCAAAAGAGTCCACCTTTCGTGAGGAATGATAGTTTCAGCTCCGTTAATAAATCAATCGATCAGCTTTTTTAATATCATCTTCACAAAAGTGCTTTCACACACACAAACTGATTTGGAGTCAATTGTTGTGATAAAGCTTTTGCCCATTTTTCCCTCAATATGTTACTCTGAAAGTGAATGAATAAATTTTGAGAATTTACTAACTTGCAAATCTTGTTAGAAACCTTAATTTCAAATTT